CGGAGAACAGCCCACCCACTCATTTTTAAATACATATACAATGCTAGGCTAGCTCTGCTTAGGCGTATCCTTAATTCGGTGTCTGCGGTTGCCTATATATGCATATATATGTTACTCTCACTTTATCTATTTCCTTCTACTTTCTTACACCCACTTTGAAACAAGGTTTACATAAAAGGTTTAAAAGGACTCACCTCCTTTTTTTTTTTTTTCCCGCCCACTGAAAGAAAAAAAATGTCTAATGATATATCCGTTATAAATTCCTCCTCTGCTGGTGGAAAAATAGTCCCAAAATTTAAAGTCCCGCTCCTGCTTTTAATATTGTGAGTCTGGGAATCCCTGCTCAGGCTTTGGGAAATGGACCGTTCCAAAGACTACTTTAAAAGCTGTTCCCTCCCTTCTATGTCAGGACACGTCAGGTCCTAGAGCCTACCATTTTCATTTCTTTCCAGTTTGACCAAACGAACATCACGAGCTCATAATTTACACCTCCTCGTGATCTTATTCTCCTGTACTTCGATAAACATCACTTTTTTTTTTTTCTTTTTTTTTTGCATGATGGTTTAACAATACGTAGTAACAGTTTCTGACTTTTAAGGTGTCTCTGAGTGATCTTACACACCCGCCACGCTGAATTATCCTGCCAAAAATCGTTGGAAGTCATTGTAAATGTGCAACATATATATAATCAACTCATCATGCCCACCCAAGAACACCCATATGCAAATGGTTTCAATTACCATTCCGTAGTTCTAAAATCTCCATTAACTTCCTCACTGCCGTTGAGTCTGGTCTGCTCTCAATCCTCATTCTCCCTTGACAGCCTAGCTGCTATTTGGATTTTATCAGACCCACCCCTAAATTGGTTCATCTTAAATCTCTCCGACTGCACTCATTTCATTTAAAAAAATATTTCACTTTTATAGATGTGTATTCACTAGCTCTGGTGGGATATTCTATATTTTGCACAATATCTGGTGGTAAGGTATCGTATGCCATGGGGGTAAGGTGAACCACAGGAATGCCTTTAACACCAAATTACCATCCAACCATATAGGTTTGAGCCAGAGTTAGACCATGAACAAGTGGAAACTACAGAAGAAAGACAAGAACGAAACGCAGTGTTTCGCGGTTCGGTTAAAAAGTGACGTTTGTTACAACCTCCAGGGAACAGAGGTTCTTGGTATATATATATATATATATGATGGGAAAGAGAGGAATGCAGTAGGTCGAATGCCCTAATGAATGAAAAAAGACTGTACTGGTACCGATTTTTCACAAAGGTAACTAGAGAAGCTTAAAGTTGATTAGTCATACAGGAAAGGGAGTAGAAGGAAGGCTGAGACCTGAGGTTAAGATCAGTGGAAAAACGAAGTAACTCCCAGTTTGTTGGATAGTTGGCCTACTCAGAAGAATGATGATATCATACAATTCCAAAAAAAAATACTTGTATTGCTTTGAGGTCAGACGTTTCATCATTTAAAAGTATGTAATGAAACTTATATTTCAAAATACATTTCTTGAGGCACTGGTGATAATTTAAGTCCCTGCTTTGACATATGAGAAGAAAGCAGGAGAGAGAAATAGAGCGAGAAAGAAAGAGAAAAGATAAGGGGATATGACAGGAAAAGAAAAAAATGTGAGAGTATTACAATGCCCTTTCTGCCTAGACTCCTTTCCATGACTGCCCCCTACTCACCTCACCGAGAGCAGAGATCAGGTGTCGTACTCTGAAATCCAAGATAACATCAAACAGACAGCAGGGATTCAAGCGTTCAGACCAACTGCAACTATGTGTCAAACTCATTATGGTGATTAGATGTCAAGTAGATACATCTTCCAATTAAATTATATATAATTTTACAGAGCATTTCCTGAACATGAAGTGTTTGAGTTTTTTTTTTTATCAAGATTCATCAAACGGGCCAGATTGAAACCCCACGTGGGCCGGTTTTGGCCTGTGGGCCATATGTTTGACACCCCTGAATTTTTCTTTTTTTTTGGTTGTATTAAGTCATTTGCCAAACTTTGCCCATAATTTAGAAAAAATGAGTTACATTTATTCATTTGCCCTCAATATTAGAGTTGTCCCATTTTTTACAAATTGATACAAATACACTTTTTTTTTGTACTTGCTTAAGTAATGATATCAGTCATGGTCATGATTTGGGTTTTTAATAAATAGACAATACCATGAAGTGCAGTCTGTGTTAAACAAAAAGAATATCATCCTAACATATTGTCATCATAACATATTAATAAAACTAAATATAAATTCAATTCAATAATAATAATAAAAAATCCTGCAACGTTAACACTGTGAAATGAACAGAAAGTGAGTGGAGCTTTTACACCACTACTGCATTTCACTCGAAGACTGCAGTGTTGCAGTGTAGCAAAAAAAAAAACCATTGAGTATAGATAATTTTTAACAAACTTAAAAATATTTGTTTTAAATACTAAAACCACCCTGATATAATGCAACAGCATTTTTTTATCGATAAAACATCAAAAAGCACAATACTAGTACTGAATAAGGTGTACATAGTAAAAAAAAAAAAAAACAGCAAAACAGGACAGCGCCCCCACTGGCCAGGGGTGTTGAAGTGGAAAAGACTCATATTTTATTTGGTTTTATAACTGGGAAGCATCAGTCATATATATTATGACATATATATATATATATAAATATACATAGATATTTCTTTTTAAATCTTTAATTGGTGTAGTACTACTGTTTTTATTGATTATATGCAGTATAAACCAAGGGAGTGCTGGTAAATCATGAACAGTAACAATAATAAAATATATATATATATAATTCTATAGTGTGTAGTAGTGACCATATACTGTAAGAATGTATTCATACTATGCTACACAACTACATGTATTTACATAAAATCTATCTGTATATATAGAGTATGTTATGCAGTTTGTGTGCTGAGAAAGTGACATTTAATCGTGTTAATGTATGTCATATATTATATATTTATCATATGGACATATTCAAACAAAATATAGACCCTTAAATTGAGGGTTTGTGTGTGATGCTTGTTATTTTTTTGTCATTTGCATTAGGTCTATAAAAAAAGATCAAAGTTTAATTTTTATGCTCTGGGTTTTTCAAATCGATAAAATGACCTTGCTGGTTTATTTATTATTAAAACGTGTTTTGCTTTATTCAAAGATTGAAAAGAAAAGTTTGTTTCCATCGGTCCTATCCTGTTTGTTCATGCTTGTAAACGAGCAGATATGTATCCTTTAAATAATGTGCATAACTTTTGTATATTTTTTTGTTGAAAGGTATATATTATGACGTAAGTAAGAAGTTGCTCGGGCCTTAGGACCGGGATGGTAGCGTCTGTAAATGTGCACATGTTGCTGCGCCGCTCTTCTCCGCTTTGCTTTGAGCGGCTTTGAAGCTTTGAACTGAAATAGTGCGAGGAGTAGGCGTCCGTGGATGAGCCGGGTTCGCCAGCCGTCCAGTGGGGGGAAAAGCACTCACTCAGCTCGCCATTGTGGCTGTGTACTTGTTTCTTCGCGTCATTTTCATCCGTTCAGTGTAATTCTGAATACAAGTTTTTTTTTTAATACTACACCCCAGGTCAAGCAATATCGGATGTGGTAAGTTCTTTTTAGCACACATGTGTGAGTTCCCTTCATTTTGTTGATGGTTAGCGGCTACTTGGCTAATGTTAGCGAATGAGCTATCAGTGGCAAGAGATGGATGAGAAAAAAGAAAAAAAAAAAGGTTGTTTGAGTGGCTACAATACCTTGACGCTGAACGCAAACCTCGTTAAAACAACGACGTCATTTGCTTTGTTTGATTTTCCTGTTAAAATTTAATTGCAACTGGCTGTGCAAATTATTTCCAGTACGCGTTTTGGGCTAAGCGAGCCACCGGCCACCAATTTAACTGATACATTTACGATAGCGTTTGCACATGTTACTTTATACTCGAGCGTTTGCTTTCTGTGCAGAATGTGATATCAACGTAGAGCTTCAGGCGTGCGTTTCACTCGCAGTGAAACTGTAGAAAACTGGAACTCCAAATTCTTCTTATTTAGGAGCCGAGATTGTAACGGGAATCATCACAACACGTGTACACGGCAATATACGGCCCACTCCTTTTAGCCTTTGTTATTTGCCAGACACCCCCTTCTCAAATACATTTGCCCTGCAAGAAAATGCTTACTCCGAACCCAAATGTGACGACGGGCCTAGCATCACTTAAAGCTAGCTTTTAGAGGACCAAGCATTGCTGTAACCGTGCAGATAACGAGTTTTGAATCACATGTAGCATTGTATATAAAATCTTTTTTTTTTTTTTTCATGAGATGTTAGTAGTACTAGGTAAAACTCACTGGAACCTCAAAGGCCTTAAAAGTAACTGCAGCAGTACTACAAAACATGTATTAAAACTGGAATGCATCTTAAAAAGTTAAGTAATAGTTCTATTTCAACTGTCTGTTATGTGATAATTTACATTATAATTTGTGCTAGAGTCGTCCAGATAAAATTTAAAAAAATCGATTTAGGTCCAAGTAATTTAATTTATGTATTTGCCTATACCGAGAATCAACACCAGTAGTTTTATAGGTTGGGTTTCAATTAATTTGCATAAAAGGGTTAAGCAGTTTTATAAACGACACAGCTCTGTGGTTAACAGCAGAATATTTCAAGACAAAAGAGAAAAAATATTTCGGTATGGGAGGAAAAAGGTTCTCCTACTGACACTGTGGTAACATTAGACAATATATCAGTTAAGTAATAAAATGAGTAAAAGTAAAAAAAAATTGCATAGTTAAATAGCTATTCATTTATTATTTATTTATTATGATTTTTTAGACCAATAGTGTATTTCTTCTTTTTACACTTTAGCTTTCCATTAAACAAAGCACCACTTAAACTTAATAAAAAAAGAAAAAGTGACCTGGTGTGGTGTAGACTCCTCATCTATTGACAGTGCCATGGATCAGAAGATCAAAAAGAGGAGAAAACATTAGCATAATAAGTGCTCTGTCGTGTAATTTTGCGTGTTTGTTTTTTACTTGCTTGTATTGTAACATCAGAAAATCTTATGGTTCATCTTCTCATGTCGATGTTTAAATACCTAAAATGAGGAGGATAAGGTTGCTCGAGTGTCACATCGTTAAAGTAAACACAGTTTAATTTAGTATCTGGCCAAAGCATGGCTATAAACGCTGAGGTTGCACCAAATCAAATATTAACTTTGTGCAGCCCTGTGCCGTTATTTGCTTGATGGCTAAATGGAGCACTGAAAAAATAGGAATCGAAAAGAGCACATAGATTTAGAAACATAACGTTACTGTTTTTTATTAATATGATTTAGTTACTATTGGAAACGTTTTATTCTCAGCTTATTTCATTTTGCATTTGATTTTGATGCCTATTTGGGAATGCTTATAAAAGTTTGATTCCTGTTCATTTAAATATTAATCAAATTATTTTGCTGTTCAAAGTGGTTACTGGTGCAGATTTGTTTTCGTAGTATTTTAATAATTTACCATTAATCGTCAGTGCATCTCTATATAAGAAGTAATGTTCAAGTCGGATTGTAAGGCAAATAGTTTATTAATTCAACAATGAGAACACGGCAATATCAGGGATCTGCCAAAATGCGAAACCCAGCTATCAGTATCGGTATCTGGACTGAAAAAGTCTGATGAATCATCCCTAATATTAGCAGCAACAGGTTTACAGCAACATTTAACTTTTATCTTTATATCACCCTTAATGGTTAGTTAAAGGTTCCAAGTTTCAACCTCCGTAAGCAGCGGCGGTTTATGAACATGTTGTGTAATTCCTTTTATATTACTTGTGGTTGTCTAATTTCAGCTAGGCCACTAACCAAAAAACAATGTCTGACAGTGTCTTTATTCATGTCTTTAACGTGAAAAGAGCAATCCATCCATACAATTAACTTTGTAATCAATTGGAAGTGGGGTAAAGAGTGAAAAGGTTAATAGATAGACAGACAGATGTATGGATAGGTGGAACTTTATCAATCCCTTTGGGAAATTAAGGATAAGTAATCTGCAGAGGAGAGGAGAGGAATGGCCCCTTTGGGAAATTAAGGATAAGTAATCGGCACTGCGGAGGAGAGGAATGAAGGTCTGTAGTCAAGGTGAAAGAGTTCAGGTACTTTTGGCCAGCCAACCAAAATAAGATGGAAAATATGCACGAAAGAGTGAAGACAAGGTGGCATGGCTGGCTAACTGTGTCAGATTTGGTGTTATATATAAAGAAAGCGAAGCTAAATTAAAAGGAAAAGTGTGTAAGACCGTACTGAGACCTGCTATGATGACATTATTTCTGGCTAGGATCTGGGTATGAACAGGAATAGAAATGAAAAGCAGAACATGCTATTTAGCAGTGTCAGGGGTTTTACTTTCAGGACTTAAAAGATTGAGTCATATGAGATGTTAAGATGGCCAGGATGTGTACTGCGTAGACACAGATGATTTATGCTTGGAGAGAAGACATAGAGAAACGTGTCGTTACAATTGTGCAGCCAAGGTTGGCCCTTAATTAGACAAACCCAGCAACTTATTACTGCTGTTAATATAGGTCTAAGTGAACTTTTATAATAACACAGGTGTGAATGGCTATCTAGTTATGTACTGTATGGGATCTGTGTTTAATTTGAGTTAGGTTGTATGTTATTGTGTATAAAGCATCTGATTTAAAAAAAAACTTTATTTAAAGCATTGCACATGGTCAAATACAATAATTGTACTTGTATAACTGTGGTAAGATGATATAATTATTCTTCCCCCATGTATGTAGATTTAAGTTTACTGAGTTGTAAGTTGTGGACTCAAAGGTTTCAGGTTTGAGTCCACAAGCTGCCAAGTTGCCACTGAGGTGCTCTGAGCACAGCATGGTGACGGGTTAAATGTCATGTTTCGTTGCGTGCAGTGCTGTGTCACAGTGACAAGTAGTATGACACTTTCACTTTAAAAACTTTGGAAAACCTGTATTGGCCTACATATTTCATGTAAAACAAAAACCAAAAAATCAACAGTTGAGAAAACAACAATTTTGACAAATAGGCACAGTGTGCCTATTTTTTTTTTATTTTTATGTCTGCTTTAAATTGTTGATGAAATGGCATTGGTGTCGTCGTCTGGAGGGGCGGGGGGTACTATCTGAATCAATTAGCTAAGCAAAAGGACTGGACCTCGTGTTGAACGAGTCCTCCTCTGTTATAGCCTCAGCGTCACAGCGGTTCCGCCCCTTTCTGCTCAACTGCCATTTTGGTTTTGTTCCCTTTCTGCAGTCGCATAGCTTGCACTGCAGTTCCGGTAAAGCGAAACCATCATCGTAGACCAGTTCTCAGTGACTCGTAGAAAAAAACAGTTTTAATCCCTTATTTTTCTCTCATCGCCGACATTAACGGTAGACACATCAGGAAAGGAGCGGATTCATACTGTAAAGGGACTGAGAAGGGTTATTGGTAAGGATGAACTATACTCAAAGGCACGGATAATCGACCAAGTTCAGTTCACAAAAACAGACGGAGCGAGAAAGCTTTTCTGCGATTCGTCTATCATGTGTTTCCGACTTGACAACCTTAATTGAAAAATATTGGCGTGTGTTTCGGACAAATCAGTCGCTGTCTCTCAGTCCCACCTTGTTTAAGGAGCAATTAGCTGTTAGCTTGTAGCCGTAGGCCTGTAGGGCCTGAACGCAAACGAATGACTGGCATTTTCTTCCTCCTATACCACTAACCCTGACAAGCTGTTCTCGTTTCTATTTTTTGTTGTTGTTGTTACTGTCATTTCTGGCCGCTTTATTTAGTGACCACGGTGAATGTTAGGGGGTCGTGTGAAAGAACTCGCAATAGCTCTACCGGTGTCTGAATGCGTTTCACGCAGTATATGGGTTTATGTATACGTGTGTATAGGTGTAGGTATGTATGTATGTGAACATACACATTTATGTATGTATGTTTATGTATATAAAAAAAATCGTGCTATACACATTACACATGCAGTAGCTGAGCTGTGTGCATTTACAATTTGTTTTTCTTTAAGGTTGTCAAATTAAATTTAGAGATCCAGAAGCTCATTTTCAGCACAAGTTTGGGGCTACAAAAGTAATAATAAGTATTCATGGTCTTGTTGTTGTACTTGACAATTGGAACAGGCTGGTTGGGCTGTCTAGCTCCGGGTGAACAGGTCCAGCAGCCTGGCTGCCCCTTGGAGCAAGGCATGGCACTGCCCCACCTAAAGTGTTCCGCCTAGATCATTTCAGTTCAATCAAAGTGAATGTGCCTTTGGATCTAATTGTTGTTGAGTGTTTTTTTGTATGCTTCAGATTCTGATAAATATATATAGTTTTCTGCTATTTATTTATTTTGCTAAGGAGTTAGCCGAAGTGGTTAGTTTATAAACGTCACCAGTGTTTGGAAGGGAAACTAAGGAACGTTTATACCAGAGGTGTTAATAATTAATATCATTCTTTCATTTTCCTGTTTAAAATCTCATCTAGGATTGGACGTTTGTCCAACACATCTGCTGTAATAACATGTCATACTATGTCCTTGAAGGGGGGAAAAAAGGGGGTGTATTATAATCCTGTTTAAAATCTCATCTAGGATTGGAGGTTTGTCCAACACATCTGCTGTAATATCATTATATGTCCTTGAAGGGAAAAAAAAGGGGGTGTATTATAATGTGATTCAATTTTAACAGTTTAATAAATATGAACATTGTTAACAGAGAGAATATAAAATTGTACCTACATTTAACCTGTTCTAATATTTCCTTGGGCAGATGTCCAGCTCGCCGCTGTCAAAGAAGCGTCGCTTGTCAGGAACAGAGACGAAGACGGAATCCCACTGCTCCTCAAACTCCCTCGCAACTGATCTGTCCCACACACCTGCTAACGTAAACAATCTTGCACACTTTTTTTTCTTAAGCTGTTGATGTATTTTTTTTAAATGTATGCATCTCAACTAAAACTACTGTCACATCTGTTGTTCTTCCATAGGGCATGGCTAAAAACGGCAGTGATGCTGAGATTGATGAAGGCCTGTACTCCAGACAACTGTATGTCCTTAACCCCAGAAAACATTTTTAGGGCAAGATGGTTGAAGAATATTTGTCAATGTGAAGAACTAATTTTTTTTTTTCTCTTTTTTTCTTAAGTTACGTTTTGGGTCATGATGCCATGAGGCGCATGCAGAACTCAAACGTCCTTATCTGTGGTGCAAGGGGACTCGGAGTGGAAATAGCAAAGAATGTTATCTTGGGAGGAGTGAGAAGTGTTACAGTACAGGACCAAGGAGTTGCGGAATGGAGGGACCTCTCCTCTCAGGTGGGATGCATGGATGGATGGATGGTAGTCAGGACGGTGGAATGGCAGCAGCTTATTTTTTTATTTAAAAAAAAAAGTAGAATTTTAATATATTGGTTCAGTGTCTTTACTGATGTAAATTTCCTTTTTTCCCCCAGTTTTATCTTAGAGAGGAGGATCTAGGTATGAACAGGGCAGAAGTGAGCCAGCCTCGTCTCGCTGAACTCAACAACTATGTTCCCGTGACTTCCTACACTGGAGCCCTCACCGAAGACTATCTCGCAAAATTCCATGTAAATAACTTTTGTTAGAAGGCTATGCTTTAGTTTTCTCCACTTTGCGTTGTAATAAGAATTTATTTTTTTAAATGTATCTCTTTCCATTTCCAGGTCGTTGTATTGACCAACTCATCTCTGGAAGAGCAGCAGCAAGTGGGAGACATGTGTCACAATAAAGGCATCAAGCTTATAATTGCAGACACTCGTGGTCTGTTTGGGTAGGTTTAGGAAAACCGTTTTCATTTCCATTTCAGTCCGGTGCCACTGTCGATATATTTCCTGGGATTCATGAAAATGTTGCTTTTATTGGTTTGTAGCCAACTCTTTTGTGACTTTGGTGAAGAGATGATGGTGCAAGACACCAATGGAGAGCAACCCCTATCTGCCATGATTTCCATGATCACCAAGGTAGGTTCAAAAGTGCTGTCTGAGACATTTGTAAAGTCTTTCAACTGAAGGTAATATTAAAAATACAACGTATTTCTTTTCTCCAGGACAATTCAGGAGTTGTGACATGTCTGGACGAGGCTCGTCATGGCTTTGAAAGTGGGGACTTCGTTACATTTACTGAGGTTCAAGGAATGACAGAACTTAATGGATGCCAACCAGTGGAAATTAAAGTTCTTGGTAAGATGCCTCACAATAGGTTTTAAAAAGCTTTGTCACTTGTGTAGTGTGTCCATGGTATAGCTGTGGTTCTGTAGTGTAGGGGTTATTAGGACACCTGCCTTGAACCCACCTCCGTACTCTTTGGAACGATTGACAGCAACTCATATTAATTCCGACGTGCTTCACTCTCTCTCTCATCCTTTACTTCCCTCTCACACTGCACCTCCAGCTACACCCACACACACACAGTGTCACCACGCCTCCCAACTCCTGGAACTATTAACCCTTTCAAACCATAAACATAACGATATGACTATTACAATATGAAAAGAAAAAAGTCTACGTGTGAGGCCGTAAACGCCATTGGTCGGTGCACCAGTGGCGAAAGGAGAAAAAAAAGGTCAGAGATCACATCACATATAATTTGCACATTTGATGAAATGGACAGTAAATCCTCGCTTTTCCGCTCCTAATAACACTACCGCTGTGATTGTTAATTTTTCTTCAACACTTGTGGCGTTCTTTCACATCCACCCATATAACTGCAAACACGTTTATGAGTTAATCATTCATACAACACTTGTGGCGTTCTTTCACATCCACTCATATAACTGCAAACGCGTTTGTGAGTTAATCATTCATAAGTGTGTCTCTGAGGTGCACATTTCTACGCTCATTTCAGTTTTGACACATCTGAACGTGAGCGTAGAAAAGAGCGTAAGCAAGTTTTTTTTGTGCTTATGCAACTTTTGATATGATCAGGCCCCTGGGTTTGATTCCCGCAGGAATCGCAAATCCCTGATGGCGCCTCCTATGGTAACCTGTGTCAGTTGCAAAGACTCGCACTGTAAATTTCTCCCATTGTAGGATGAATAAGGGACTCAATTATTATTATTATATTTATGAAGTAAACACAACGGATGTCCTTTCCAGGTCCCTACACCTTCAGCATCTGTGACACAAGTTCATTCACGGAGTACGTGAGAGGAGGAATTGTCTCGCAGGTCAAGATGCCCAAAAAGATAGCCTTCGTAAGTTGTGCTTGCTGCTTTTATCACATTTCTCTTTGGTAGAAATATGTTTCTAATTATCCTCAATGCCTTTATCATGCAGAAATCACTTTCTTCCTCCATGGCCGAGCCAGATTTCCTTATGACAGACTTTGCGAAGTTTGACCGTCCGGGGCAGCTGCATCTTGGATTTCAAGCTATTCATGCTTTCCAAAAGAAACACAGCCGTCTTCCTGTTCCATGGAAAGAGGTAAACACACAAATCTTCCTAACATTATTCCATCCTTGTGATGTGATAAATGGGATGATTAACCACATCTTTATCAAACAACAATATTTGACAAGTTTTTCAGTCCTATGCAGTTCCTTGTCTGCCTACATTATTATAAATAAACATAAAGACTATTAGTCTATTACTATTAAATTGGTTTTGCTAACTAACTATTTTGCACTAAAATCGATTACACACTCGAGTATGGTGGCTCTGACTCTGTTTTGCATCACATGCATCTGTGCAATATCATAGCCCATGATTTCTGAAAATATGTAAATGAAAAAAACCTGCACCTTGAAATATGTATGCACGCACAAGAGTCTTGGCCAGTAGTAGTAGTAGTAGTAGTAGTAGTATGATAACTACCACCACCACTGCAGTCTAAAACAAGGCTGTCAGAGGAAAAGGAAACATGACAAAAAAATTATAGTCATGCTTTGTATACAGTGAGCTCAATGAAAAAAATACCACAGTAAAATGAATTTTGGAAAGATGCTATATTTACTATATTACTAAAGAGGCTCGCAAGCTGCGGGTGCAGACTGAAAGAACTGCATCTTCAGTTTACAGGCAGAATATAACATACATAAGACATGGTTGCATATGTGTATATATGTATGTGTATATATGTATGTATGTGTATATATATATATATATATATGTGTGTGTGTGTGTGCTTCAGTCTATTCATCCTATATATATTATATATATATATATATATATATAATATAAGAGCATGCTCTTATATTTTTTATATATATATAAATAAGAGCATGCTCTTGTTTCTCAAGCTGATTGGCTGATGCATCGTAGCGTCTCCTCTTGTCTGTCTGCCCCTTGTTGACTTTGCTCTGCCCACTAATATAGTATGTTGTTGTAAAGTTTGTTCTCTTTGGTGTTCTTTTTTGGTGAAAGTTGACCCTCATTTAACGCCCTACGATGCCTCTTAAATGCTGTGCATCTTCTCAGAGTTCTGTTACGAAGCCCAAACGAAGACACAGATGACAGTTAACACCCTTTATTTTTCTGTACAATAATGTGCACTCCTGCACTGTGCCCGGCTTTTTTATATGGTCCGTCCGTCTTGGCCAGTATACACTCCTCAGATCACTCTCCTCTCTCCTTGGTCCCGGCTCCTACTAATATAAGGAGAGGCTTAATTACTCCAATTGCACCAGGGTCGCCAGTCCCGTGCTCTCTTTCCTCCACCGTACCCCCACAATGTGAATGTACATTGAATTTTGATTTAGAATTAGAATGTATTTTACATTGTTTTTCATGGTCGTGTATTTAATTTATGTAATATGTATGTCTTCCATTATACACTTCTACTGTGCATGTAATTGTGTGGGAAAGGGAGGGTTGATAACAGTGTGAGGGAAGTTCGTAAAAGTTAAATATATACATAAAAATATAACTATCTTGCCACTACTTTGCGGATTTTTCCTTTTGTTTGATAGTCATGCAATGCTGTGTGATGTCACTCATGGACATAAACTATGTACTCCTTTTTAAAGGCTGATGGTGAGGAGTTCCTGAGCTTGGCTAAGGAAATCAACTCTGCCCAGTTGGGCTCTGCCAAGTTAGAGGAGCTGGATGAGGCCCTGATCAAGAAGGTGTCATATATTGCTGCTGGCGATTTGGCCCCCGTCAATGCCTTTATTGGGGGTCTTGCTGCACAAGAAGTGATGAAGGTCAGTCCATTATTGTCTAAATGTAGAAGATAATTTTTTTGGAGGGGGGTTTAGCTGGAAATCTGGTTATTTTTTAAATGAAAATCATTTCCAGTCTGTGCTTCCGCTAAGTAACCGAAGTATTGTTTTCAATTTATTATTGAGTCAGATTGTTTGTTTTTTTTTTTAACTGCTGAGAACACAGAATTTTCATACACACACACACCAGACGTCTTCATTCTGCAATGCAAGAGAACTAACCACTCTTACACTGTGACCACTTCCTTTCAGAAGAAACAGAGAAAGTCAAATTAACCTTATGAAAATGCAAGTGACGTCTGAATGTGCTTCAATATAGAAAGACTGTGATCAAACGCAGATCATCTGTTTCGGCTTCTTATTCATATAAACAGCTGTTACCTTACCCGACCTTTACCTTTGTTTTCCCCATTTTGTAGACTGTGCCAGTCAATTGCCACTTTCAGGGTTTTTTTCCTAATATTCCAAATCACTTGCTCTCATAGCCTAAATATATATTTTATTGGTACTATTTTCCATACTTGGATGTTTCAGTTTCTTTACATTCTACATTATTGTCAGCTCATTCTTGTTAATAGATTTTTAAAGAGATACTAAATATACATAAATACAAACTCTATCTTCTCTTTTCATTTTTCTTTTTTTAAAGTGGAACTTAAATTTGATTATATCAAAAGACTATTGATGCAGAATGTCTAACATCAAGATATAATTTATGTGCTTAATATGTAATGTTCTTGGTTTTTTTTAACTTTTTAACTAGTCATATCCTCTCTGTGACATGGCCTTAACTTTTTTGTTTCTTCTTTTGTTTTGTTTTTTTAGGCATGCACAGGAAAATTTATGCCAATACTGCAGTGGATGTACTTTGATGCCCTGGAGTGTCTGGGTGAAGAGGACAGCATGCTAACAGAAGAAGATTGCGCTCCTGTATGTGTTCACTATCACATTCCACAGATGTATCACACAATAAACAGATGTGCATATGAATGATCGTTATATTCGATCGCTTGAAAATGATCTCTTCCACCACTGTCTTCTTCCAGAGGAACTGCCGGTACGATGGGCAGATCTCTGTGTTTGGCACCAAGCTGCAGGATGCACTTGCTAAACAGTGCTACTTCCTGGTGAGTAATTGTGGTTGTTGATATCATATGTTGCTGCAAGCCCACTGTTGAAACTGTGTTTATTTTGACGGAGGCGTCAACAACCATTACACTGACTAGTGGAATCAAAACTCTTACCTATATGAAATACTCAGTTAGTTATGGAACACAGTTTCTTGCGGTGGCTATGTAGTGCTGTAGGAGATAATCATGTCGTTTCACTGTTGAAACCGTGTTTATTTTGACGGAGGCGTCAATAACCATTACACTGACTAGTGGAATCAAAACTCTTACCTATATGAAATACTCAGTTAGTTATGGAACACAGTTTCTTGCGGTGGATATGTAGCGCTGCAGGCGCATGTCGCTTGTTGAAGGAAAATAAGTGTTTGAAATTAATTTTTTTTTTGTCTATTGCTATCCATCCATTAAAAGGCCATAATGTCAAAAAAAAGGGCAAGTCTTAATACTGCCATCTTTAAAGCTTGAGCTGTGCTTAAGTATAAATAATATTGAGAAAAGCCTTGTACTGACTTCCACTATTGATCAGAGGGTTTTAAAAAAAAAGGGCAAGTCTTAATACTGCCATCTTTAAAGCTTGAGCTGTGCTTAAGTATAAATAATATTGAGAAAAGCCTTGTACTGACTTCCACCATTGATCAGAGGGTTTTTGCACCAAAGTGGATTTTTCTTAAAGTTATTCATACAACTGTCAATTTTAAGTACATTGAAACTTATGTATACTAATGTATACGTTAGCTCCCAACTTGGTAAAGTTAAAACATTTTTGTATGGAAGAAATGGTTAGATAGACACGTGATCAACTACAGAAAATGTCTGGAGGCTGTAATACCAAACACAGAGGCTTTGCTACTGATTTCAAAAAATATGCTTCGGTGGTAATTGAACTGTATACTTCATATTTCAGGTTGGAGCTGGTGCCATTGGCTGCGAGTTGCTGAAGAACTTTGCTATGATTGGACTTGCGGCTGGAGACGGCGAAGTCATTGTGACAGACATGGACACCATAGAGAAGTCCAATCTCAACAGACAGTTCCTGTTCAGACCCTCTGATGTTACGGTCAGTGTAATTTGATAGTAGTACTTCCAAGCACAAATCCGTTTTCGTGGATATTGTTAGTACTTCCAAATATTGATGTTTGCATAAGAAGAAATTATAAAGTCAGTAACAACTGCTTTTTTTAAATTAAAAATCTTTTTTTTTTTTTTTAGTATTATTATTGCCTTTTGTTTTAAACAACATACCATGTTGTATTCTAAGCCTAACAAGCAGAGAGTCCTGGGTTCGACTCCCAGAGCAACCACAGGCTTGGCACCTTCTGGGAGCAGCCTGTTAACAGCAAGAATTTCCCAAATGTGGGATCAATATAGTACAATTTATTATTATGACGCACCAGCCAAAAAAAATGCATAATGAAGAAGAAAAAACATATAAGTCGCACCGGAGTTTAAGTCGCTTTCTAGCGGCTGTCAGTATGAAAACAACAAACATGTGAAATTATATATTTCAATATATAAGTCACACCCGAGTAGAGGTCACGAACCCAACCAAAGGATGAAAAAAAAAGTGAAACTTATAGTCCGGAAAAGTATATTGTGAGGTGTAAAGTATTGGTTGTCTTTAAAAGGCAGTGCTTTCTTAACCGCTACTTGCTACCTGCCTCTGCGTTTGAATTTCACATGATGTTCTTTTTGATCCCGCTTCGATAACAGAAAATGAAGAGTGACACGGCAGCTGCTGCAGTGAAGCAGATGAACCCATCTATCAGGATCACAGCTCATCAAAACAGAGTGGGCCCTGACACAGAAAGGGTTTATGACGACGATTTCTTTGAAAGCCTGAATGGTGTGGCCAATGCACTGGATAATGTTGACGCACGTAAGGGGCACTTTTATTTATTTATATTTGTTATTTACTTTTATTAAACTCTGATTTGGGCTCAGAAAAAAAAAACTGCCACTGTTGGCATCTTTCTTTTCTGTTCGCACAGGCATGTATATGGACAGAAGATGTGTGTATTATCGAAAACCCTTACTGGAGTCCGGAACCCTTGGAACCAAAGGCAACGTGCAGGTTGTGATCCCCTTTCTCACTGAGTCATACAGCTCCAGCCAAGACCCACCAGAGAAATCTATTCCCATCTGTACTCTGAAGAACTTCCCAAATGCTATTGAGCACACACTGCAGGTCAGTACTACAAACACAATGTGCATCAAGTTGTTAAACCTTCTAATGAAAAATAAGGACAGGGGCAAAAAGATAAATACCAGTGTAAGCAAGGTTCAAAATGTTGGTTGAAAAGTAAAACTTAAGTCAATGTTGGTGTCAAATGACTCAGTGTAATAGTTTATTTAAAGGCCTTTTTATTTAAAAAAAAAAAAAAAAAAAGTATTACAAATAATGGTCTGTAAATCATAAATTGAGATTACACTTGACTAATACAATGGGTTTTTTTTTTTATTTATTTATTGCTGTTACCATTTCTCTGTTCAGTGGGCCCGTGATGAATTTGAGGGGTTATTCAAGCAGCCATCAGAGAATGCAATGCAGTACCTCACGTAAGTTGACTTCACTTCTCTTTACCAAGAATAATTAACCGTGTAGAAAAATGAGGCCATATATCCAATGGACTGCAGAAATAGGAGCACATACACATTAAAGTCCATTTCATAAAGTAACAATCAAAATATAATTATGACATTGGAGAATACTTCTACATAATTGGGACATTCAGGGTTTTCAATTAGAAATAATCTTACAAACTGTGCCCATTTCAGTTCTTTGTTCTCGGTACTTTGTTTATGCTAAACCTAAAATAATTCATCCTTATACTCCTGTCCATATCATGCAGTAAAACACCTAAAGTTCCTTTGACAGCTGGAAGCTTTTTTTTTTTTTTCCACAAATATCCTGATTGAAGCCTAGCTTTTGAAAAAATAAATAAATAAATCGCAGCCACAAGTGAGAGAATTTAGTTCAACAAAGGTCATATAAAAGTCAATACTCCTGAAATAGAAAACATGAATGATGTTCAATGAACACAACCACACCATGGTGCAGGAAAATAAAATTTGTGCGTATCACCAGAACACCTTAAAGATACTTTAGGGTGACCATGCAGCATGCACGATTTTATATACTCCTTATATACTCCTCCTTTTTTTTTTTTTTTTTATGCCCCATCTTAAATGTATTTTATAGGAGGATATTTTAAGATTTGATTTCAATTCTTATTTCGATTTGTAAAGTCCTTTGAGACAAATGTGTTGGGCTAGACAAATAAAATGGACTTGATTTGAATTAATAATGATTACTCCAGGAAACATTCTTACATAGATGTATGTTTCACAATTTTTGCGAACAATCAAAATGATGGCATTATAATATGGGAAAATGTCAGGAAAAATATGTAAACATATAACCCAAAATGTTGAGAGTTACTGAAGGCCAATATTGGTCTCCAGTCCCTCCAAACCAGTTGACAGTTGTCATCTTGCCAGCCGTATACTTTCTTACTGCCTTGCAAACGATGAGGTGGGTCTGACGTAAGCCCGGCTTCTCACCAAGTTAAGGCCTCCACAAATATGCGTGCTGTTGAGATTGTATTTCAAGTAAAAACAGCAATGTTAATTTGTCAAATTGGTGACTTAAGGTCAGGAATTAATGATTGCTGTCATTTCAGGGATTCCAAGTTTATGGAGCGAACCCTAAAGCTTACTGGAGCTCAGCCTGTAGAAGTACTAGAAGCAGTTTACAAGTGTCTGGTCACTGACTACCCACACAGCTGGAAAGACTGTGTAACCTGGGCACGCAACCACTGGCAATGCCAGTACAACAACAACATCCGTCAGCTGCTGCACAACTTCCCTCCAGATCAGGTACAGAGAGATGTTTGCTTGTATATCTTTGACTTTAAAAAAAAATGGTTTAGATCAAGCATGAGCAAACTATGGCCCGGGGGCCAGAAGCGGCCCGTTCAGCTTTGTAATCCGGCCCACCAAACTTGACCAAAATATATAATTGGTTTGTATTGTATTTCTACTACTGCCTTTTCCCTTCATTGCCCATATTTTCCCTATAAAAAGCATTTTAGCCTTTATACATGACTTTTAGCACCACGAGTCAGAAAGTTTGCCCACTCCTGGTTTAGATAGTTGGTATGTGTTGTACAAGTTGGCCATTTATTCAGTAATTGGTGCATACATTCATACTGTTCAAATGGGCACCGCGGTTACAGTGGAGAAAGGAAATTGAATGTGGCAAGAAAATGTGTCGCCATTGTTCGTCTAAATCAGCTGTTGCTAACACAGCAGACTTGATAACTCTAAACGGCGACATTCAGTTGGTGATGTAAGGTTGGGTAGTCCCTTTTCCTTTCTGAGGACTGTCCCTTTAAAGTATGGTATTCATGCAGTATGTCAGGTAAGACATAATTGGTTTTTGACCGAACCGAAAACGGTGACCACCAAAACCGCAATACGAATCGAACCATGGATTTTCATGGAACATAGAAACCTCCTGTAGTGGAAAAATAAAGAAGCATTCATCTGTTTATTGTAAATTTTCTTACCATTGCACTTCTTATTTATATGTTTGAAAACATTTACATTCAATTTTGTTGTTTTAGCTCACCAGTTCTGGAGCTCCTTTCTGGTCTGGCCCAAAACGGTGTCCTCATCCTCTGGAATTCAGTAATAGTAATGTAAGTATCAGCTGTCAAATCACACTGCAGATGTCTTGATTTTTTTCTTGCTGCTTTCTGCGTCCTTTCTGTTGTAATGATGGCAAAACCTATGTTACAGGAGCTACACATCGATTACATCATGGCTGCTGCCAATCTATTCGCTCAGACATACGGCGTACAAGGAAGCAATGATCGCACTGGCGTGTTAAAAATATTACAGGAAGTCAAAGTGCCAACCTTCACCCCTCGTTCAGGAGTCAAAATCCACGTCTCGGACCAGGAGCTGCAAAGTAGTAATTCATCTATTGGTAAGTTTTATAGTCTGTGAGGACATGATAACAATCCAGTGGGTGAGAATTTGTGGAATCTAGGAAGTGAGGCTCCACAACTCTATCTCTAAAATACTGGGCTCAGTTTATTTTGCAGAATTCTTGTACAAAACCTATAGTCACCATGGTGTTCTTAGTTGAACAGGTAGAAAAAGGGCTCTTTCTCTGAGTTCTGAGGAGGGTAAAGGTGGGTCTAAACTAGTGATGCACTGGATTTCCAGCCACTAAAAAACCCTAAAAAGACCCAAAAGTGCCTTTTCCGTTTCGGCCGAAAGACTTTAATCCCCAAAACAACACGGCCGAAACACGAAGTTATGATGACACAAGCAAAATCCGCTGAAAGTGCCAACGTCTCTCTGCGGTGTGGACGTATTTCAATACATCTGAGAAGTACCAACAGATAGAGATTTACAAAATGTTTAATGCTAAAATTTTAAGATCTGCAAAGAATATCTCCATGTCGCCTGTAATACAAACATCCCGATCGCTATGCTTGAATATGAGAGGAAGCAACGCCTGTTTGCGCAGACCAGTGGGTTCTAATAGAAAACCTTCTCTCTCTTCTTGCCCCATTTGAGAAGCAAACTAAAGAGACTAGCTGATGCCTCTGTAGCAGATGTTATTCCTTTGATCGCAGCACTAAAGCGTCTTCTAAGCTAAGAAGTCGAGACAGACCACGGAGGGAAAACAATGAAAAGTACATTTATGGAGTAGTTATCCACCCCAAAGAGGGTTGGGAGAAACTGGTCATGGGTCAGAACAATATGACTGTTAAGTGGTCATGTGAGTCTTTGGTGGACCTATGGTGGATCGTTCCCGCTCCCTGTCCTCTGGGTGGGGGTTGTACCATGACCACTTTACTCCACCCCCCCAACCCCTTTGGGGAGGATAAATACCTGAAACTCCTCACTAGAAAAGTAGAACTGATGAAGCCTCTTGGATGAGAGGTGAAAACGTCTTTAATTTCCTTGAGGTGAGTCCAGTTGCCTACTTTTTAAAACTGCTTTTGAGATTGTTATGATGACCTGCATGACTGAGAACATCCACAAATACTTAGTCTGTCACTGAGATCTATTTGGATGCTCTGCACTTCTTAAAGATCATTACTTGGAAGCGGGAATGAAGCAGTGTGCACGAGAACTGATCCAGCAGTTGACTTGAATGTACTTTGTGTTTTTTATGAGAGAGCAATGTTTAATTTTACAATCTTCCAGTAGGCCTGTACATTATCATTTAATGTACACACAAATTTCAAACATCAAGTTTTTAAACACGTTATTTTGAATTTTATTTTATATTGTGCGTTGTTGAAATGTGCTATAATTGGCATAATTTATTTCGGGTTTTTTACGGCCTCTAATGTGAATCCCAAACCCTTTGTGATATACAGATGTAAATAGAGACTCCAAACCCTTTTGTGACACATAGAATTGTAAATCCAGATGTCTTTGTGATGCCTAGAGGTTCCGCTCCTTGGAGTGCCCCCCCACCTCCCACCCAGCCCATCAACAAGACCAGGTCCTTTTGTTATTTAACCGCATCATGTCTAGACCTTCCGGCCCCACCCAAATATGGGACCTTGCAGAGTGTCTCAGGTGTGGGGGCCAATGACCTGCAACAGACAAACTGGTTTGAACCCACATCCTAGTTCTAGCGTCGAAGTCTCCATTTCATTCTTCACCACGATGAGTAGAAATTTCCACAGCAGGCACTGGTTTTTTCGGGTTTCGGTTTCGGCCGAGAATTTTCATTTCGGTGCATCACTAGTCTAAACTTCTTGCATATCTGAATTCTTTACATACACAATATGGGCCCCTTACCGGCAACTAAGCCTGATGGTAACTTAACTTAAAAAGAGTAGTGGTTACTCTTAGTAGGGTTGATTAGAGTGTGCATATTACAGAATGTTACCGGTTCAAGTCCAAAGTTTTTTTTGTTTTTTTTTATACTCAAAATATTTGCAACACAATTACATGAGCTGTTTCAATTATTTTCCTGGACTTTTTCGTCCTCATTTCTACACATATGTACTTGTTGATGTGTTGGCTGTTGCATGTGTGCAGATGACTCAAGACTGGAGGAACTGAAGGCCCAGCTACCCACCCACGAGTCCTCCCATTTCAAACTCTGCCCCATTGAGTTCGAGAAGGTACTCGTCGTCTTTGCTCTTTTACGTCACAGCAGGAACAGCTGTTTGACCTCATTTCTGTTTCCTCACTGCCCCACTTTCTGTGTACACAGGACGATGACACAAACTTCCACATGGACTTCATTGTGGCAGCGTCCAACCTGAGAGCAGAGAACTACAGCATTCCCCCCGCAGACCGGCACAAGGTCAGTACCAGCATCGTGCATTTATGAACGCAGGTGAAGATGGACAACACCCTAGTTAAACACTTGTTCTCCTTTCACATTTATATGTATTTTTTTTTTCCCCCCCTCTCAATTCAGAGCAAACTAATTGCCGGCAAGATCATTCCAGCTATTGCCACCACCACATCTGCAGTGGTGGGCCTTGTATGCCTGGAGCTCTTCAAGATCGTCCAAGGCCACAAGAAGCTCGAGTCCTACAAAAACGGTTTCATGAACTTGGCACTACCCTTCTTTGCATTTTCTGAACCGATTGCGGCTCCTAAACACAAGGTAAGAACCGCCCGGGATTACACAGAGTGCGTTGACATTAGCCAATGAGGAAGTGGATTATGGCCGCTAGTCCAAGCAGCTTGTTTTAAGACAAAAAGCTACAATATGCCATCCAGGGCTATCATAATCACAACAACTTTTTTTTTTAGTCTAAACTTTTATCTTTATACTTTTCTGTAGGTATAAAATGGCTATTAATGGCTAGGTTTAAAATTTAAATATTGCAACACAAAAAAGTAAACAAGTAAAGTCAGCTTTATTTTTTTAAACCTTCAAAAGATTTAAAACTGGAATACAATGTATATAAATAACTTATGAAAGACATTATTATACAAGTCAAATCAAGTCGTTTGTTGTGTACTACTACCGCAAAGTAGTTAGAGGCATTACGGCGTATTCAGTATCTCTAGTGAAAGATCTTAGTGACATCAGTCTTCGTATTTTCTAAAAAGGATTTAAAAGACAAGTTCAAATGTCTGATCTAAATTCTGAATAACTCATTCGTGTGTTGTATTTTTGTTTTTTTTATCAAATTTACAAACCAATATCAAGCACCAAGAGATCAGATACTGAGGCGTTCTGCGTGAAGCGCTGATCGTTGTTGAATTTAAAAATGTCTTAGTCTTCCCTGTCAATCTCCACCACAGTGTACACTTCATATCTCCAATGATGATCCAGCCATGCTAATACCGATGCATTAAGCAGACAGTGTGTCTGTCTTGGTGTAAGTGAGTTGAACTCAAAACTTCTCACACTGGGACCAGTGTGTGCTGAGGAGAATCGTGATCGCGTGGTCGTTTTAACTTTAATCAGAAATGAAAACAAGCGAATGACCTTTCGTCTCTTGGTTTTTCCGCAGTACTACGAAATTGACTGGACATTGTGGGATCGCTTCGAGGTCACAGGGTTGCAGCCCAGCGGGGAAGAGATGACACTCCGACAGTTTCTGGACTACTTTAAGGTACATTGATTTTTCCATTACACTTCGGTTTTGATTGTTTATGTTGTGATTTCTGACACGAGTTAATGGTATCTCTCGCTCTCTCTCTCTCTGTTGTCGCGGTGATTAGAACGAGCACAAACTGGAGATCACCATGCTTTCTCAAGGAGTGTCCATGCTATATTCCTTCTTCATGAATGCTGCTAAGCTCAAGGAGAGACTGGATCTTCCGTAAGACCTTTTCATTATTTATTTACTCTTATATCAACCCATCTTGTAGTTGTGTAGTCCAAAAATACCTTATTTACATTCTTGTTGACTATGAAAAAAAAATTTTTCACAAAGCAACTCCATGGGTGTGACAGACGAACCCAACAACATTTCACCTAATCTCTCGCTTGTTTTTTTTTTTTTTTTTTAATACTACACACTAGACTAAATGACTTTTTTTTTTTTTTTTTTACCCCATTCAAGTGTTGGTAACCTGTCATCACTGATCTAATTCTGGAATTATATTGATTAGTCAGTGACTTGATCATTTATTTGCGGTCTGATGAGGTGTACATAAATCAACCAAGCACCCAATCGGATTGAAGTCATTTTAAAGGAAGTGCTTTCTGGTTGGCAAGCTCCACCACAGGGCTGTGTCCGGATGTTCTCATAAAAATAGAAACGAAACTGGTGACATACAGCTGGGCGAGTACAACTTCAATACTTTCCCTAATGCCTATGCAGTGTTGCAAAGGTGTGTTAATCCCAAATTATCACCTGGCTCTCTGTCAAGGGTGATCCCATATCTACACCAATTCCCTTCAATTCGCAATTCGGAGTGCGCATCCAAATTTGCACCTGATTTGTAGTGCTAAAGATTTTTGGGTTTTTTGTTGATTGCAGAGACAAAATTTGTCATTTTTTTTTAAAAATTGTCCAGAAATGTAATCTTAAAAGGTCTTGAGTTTGACTTGCTTTAGTCAGGTTGACCGTATGCCGTCAAAGTCTGTCAAAAGTCTGTGTGCTCTAATGCCAACTACGTTACGGTTGTTCCTGTAGGATGACGGAGATCGTGACAAAGGTTTCCAAAAAGAAGCTGGGGAAACACGTAAAAGCGCTCGTGTTTGAGCTTTGCTGCAACGACCTGACAGACCAAGATGTGGAAGTGCCCTACGTCAGATACACAATCCGCTGAGCTCTGTGTACGCGTACACTGGACACATCCAAAGGTCAAGTGTAACTAGCCCCAGTAGGATGATCGAGGAAAACTTGTGTGTGAGTGTGTTGAAGTCCAGTGTTGAACAGGGTTGTCCCCGGGGGGGTTGGAGGGGGGGAGTGGGCATGTACAGTGGACCTCCTGATGTTTCTCAGCTACAGAGCTGCTCCTTACTTGATTGCCTTCTAGTTTTACTCAGTAGCTCTGCAGACAATATTCTAAGATTCGTCAGCATATAAGGAGCATCCCCACTCCCTCCTTACACGTGTAACCTGCTCTCACTGAAAAGAAAAAAAAAATGCAACTAAAACAAGTATAAAACATCCCAAAAGGTAGTGATCCCATATTAAAGTCAATTTTCTCCTTCCAAGTCTTAGCTGTTCTTTCTCTACCCCCCCCCCCCCCCCCTTTATTTTTTTTATTTTGATTTAGCCCGAAACCCTGAATTTGAATGATGGTTCTATCTGATGTTGACATCACTCTGCTGTAATCAACTGGTTTTTGGACGGGAGTGTACGTAAAGAGCTCTGCAAACGTTTGACATGTACAATATTTGTAGTGCATTTACTATCTTACTACATGAATTCGAGTTACAGTGAAAGCAGAGGAGCACTTAGTTTGTCTGGGAGATCAAATAAACACGTTAAATACATGAAGCTGAAGTGTCTTTGTTGTACCCCGGTATCAGGTGCAGAATTTTAAGCAGTCCACCTTAAGTAAATTCAATCTTGACATTTTTACAATATTTTTCCTTATTCAGTCTTATATTAGTGACACGCACTTGTTTAATAAAATACTTATTCCTTTGATTTTTTTTTAACATTTTGGTATTATACCAATATAAGTCAATTAAAATACTTATTCCTTTGATTTTTTTTTTTTTTAACAGTTTGGTATTATACCAATATAAGTCAATTATGCAATTGTTATACCGCATAATTGACTTGCGGTAAGTCAATAAGTCAATTTTAACTTGTTGACTTACAGTAGTCCCTCGCTATTTTGCGGTTCATCTTTCGCGGATTCACGACTTCGCAGGGTTTTTGAAAACTGTATATATAAAATATACTGTGTCCCGGATTTGGATCTGCAAGAGATGTCACAGGAATGGGACGACGACATGGTTCGATCGCTCCAATTTTGCAACAATTTTGCCCCAAGAAGTGGCGCCACCCTCTGAAGAGACGTAAAAGCGCAGTAAGTCATAATTTTACTGCAGACCCAAGAAATGCGGCGCTAGAATACCCGTTTACACAGATGTGAAGCAGTTCTCAAAAAACAGCGGTTACACAACTAAATATTGGTTTAGTGATTCACAGGGATGCTAAATCTTAACGTTTATTGAGTAAATATTGAGTTTTTTTTTATTAGAGTTTCTAATGGAAAATGCAGACGCTGCTATTTTTTTTTAACAGCTAATATAGTTTTTCCTTTATTTTCTGTAAAGCAATTAAAATATTTCTTTTATGTTTTGATGTAAAATATAATGTGCAATGAATGGAAATAAAATTATTTTTGGATTTTTACAGGATGTTCAGCTTTACTCCCGTTTTTAAATTTCGAACACACCTGTAGCTGCCTGGCAAGCAGAAGAGCCCAGAGAAGATTAGAAGTGACTTTAGTAAAGGAGGAAGTCGTGGGGGTAACATGGAGGCAGATGATTCGCTCTGCTGTCCCCTGGAGGAAGCAGCCAGAACAATAGTGTTCCATAATGTACCTTTTTTTTTTTTCCCTGTTAAATGTATTTGATGTTCTGTGCTTTTTTCGTTGTCTGTGTAGGTACTGCTGGTACACGTTTGATGTACGAGTAACATGGCTGCAGCTAAGTGTCGAACAGGAACCGTATAAGATGAGCAGAAACACTCCCACGTGCACACAGGGAGGATGTGGTCAGATCTGAAATGAGGAAGAAATGCAAAGGAACTGTGACACCTCAGTCTTAGCAAAAAAAAAAAAAACCCGTCGGCCATGGTATACTACAGGAAAGACTTGCCTTTTGGATCAACGGTCTTTCTGGTTTAACTGAGGCAAAATTCAGTGAACATGAACTGAGGACGTGGGATGGAAGAGAAAATGGAAGTGAAGGAGACCGGTGAAAAAAGGACTTCCTGGTAAGATTGCTACATTTCATCATTCAACAGGTTCCACTCTGAGCTGCAGCGGAACTCTCATGACAGGATGTTTGACACGAAAAGTCGTACTTTTGTAAAACGTATGACGTTTGTGTTTTTGGATTTAGATTTAGATTTTTAGAAGACTGATTTTTCTTCATTCTTTATTTTAAGTCGGAACTTCCTCACTATTGAAGTGTCCTCTTAAAGCTTGTATGTGTCTGGCCTTCGTTTTGTGTTTGTAGAAAAGAAGTAATCCAGGTTTTATTCCTGGCGGTGTCCCTCATCTGAAGTGAAGGGTTAATTACACCTTTGAGTTTGCTTTTGTCAGATGATTTTTTTTTAATTCATATTTGGATATGAAATGTGAAAAATCAAAAAAAAAATCATGCACCTGATTCACGTTGCCATTTGAAATTTCTTTAGGTCTTCATCTCCAGGAGAGACGCATTTTATACCTTGTGATCATTCTGGGGTAAGTCATTCAATCATTTCTTCGTCTCCTTCAGAATACTTTTTCTAGGACATTTTATTAATGAAAATTAAATTTCTTGATTTCTTTTTTCCTACATTTTGTTTATATTCATTATTAGACTTTTTTTTTTTTTTTTTTTTTTTTAAAGTGGCCTTTTGCTTAAAACCAAAGCGGCAATTGATTCACATGTATTTTGTGTTTCCTTTTAGAAACGAAGAAAACAATATGTGGCTGTGCAGGTGATGACATTTTCACGTTGTGACTTTTTGTGCGCCTCGACCTAATTTTGCGGCCGTAGCCTCAGAGATACGTGAACATTTCACCGCGGTCCCATCGGGTTTCAAAGTGTGGTTCATAACGCAGTGCGACACAATAAAAGACAGAGAATATATAGTTGAAGGAATCGCAGCACACAGTATGTGATGTTTTTTTTTAAATTTCCTCTGGGTGGCTGTGAGCTGGTTCTATATGTGGCCACAGCAGATCATTTGCTTCTCACTATATCTTACGTCACACTAAATATTTATTTTTAGTCATGCCAAATTTAATACAATGACCAAAAAAAAAAAAAACAACACCTGTCCTTATACTCTACAGCAGTGGTTCTCGATTTAATTTGTCTCCGGCTCCCCCTTGGGGACAGAACTGTTTTCACATACCCCCCAACCCACACCTCTGCAAATTGAAATACTATTGAAATACCTGATAACATGTATATTTTTAATCTGAACAAACCACTGTATGAGTTGCTGCCACCTAGTGACTGGAGGCTTGTTATCATTCAAGCGTTACAGCAGCGGTACACTTACTGTATGTCCAGTGCCTGTGCACTATTCCATTATATGTACTACTATATACTATATATATATGTATATAGTGTCACTGACCTACTTTAAAAGTCTTTCAGCTCTTGGAATGAGCACAAATTATTTCAATCAGACTAATTTATAGAACGAAAACGACCTTCGATGTCAGTTGCTAGTTGACATTTACGATAACTTTAATTCGAGTTCTGTTCTGAACAATAACTTTCAGAAGCCTTTTTTTTTTTTCAAACTGACAACTAATCCATTCATCAGTCCCTACATTACCCAATAAAATATTTTTGTGAGAACTAAAAAAAATACACTCAAGTGTAAATGTAAAAAAAAACAATAAGAAGTTAAATGGCTGAGAAGCCTGTCAGTCATGTGGTTCCCATGACAACGGTTCAGTTGGAGGAAAGTGGGAGGGAGTTTGTCAGTGAGAGAGAGAGAGAGTTGCGATTTAACTGGGGCGAATATAACGAGTTCTGACGTCGGCTACCGCCCACAGTAGCCGGTGTTTTCCGGGTTGATTAACCCTCGAGTCAAAAGCACTTGGGAGAATGATCGTTTTTGGACCGAGGAACGCCGTCATATTTGATGACTGACTGTCAAACTCATTTTCGTTCAAGGGCCGGACCTGTACAATCGTAACATAATTACCTTACAATAACCATAACAATCTTTTCCCCTTTGTTTTAATGCAAAGAAGTACATATATATTAGATATTTTTTAAATATAATTTTACTATGTATTTTCTGATTTTCAAAATTAACCAAGCGGGCCGGTTTTGTCCCACGGGCCGCATGTTTGACTACCCTAGATTTGACACTAATATATTTATAATTCTCAATTGAATGTCTTATATATTCCAGGATGTGTTGTCTAACATTTAACAACACACACAAAAATATATATATTAATACATGAAAGAAAATATATATTAGATATTTTTTAAATATAATTTTACTATGTATTTTCTGATTTTCAAAATTAACCAAGCGGGCCGGTTTTGTCCCACGGGCCGCATGTTTGACTACCCTGGATTTGACGCTAATATATTTATAATTCTCCATTGAATGGCTTATATATTCCAGGATGTGTTGTCTAAACATTTAACAACACAAAAAAAATATATTGATATTTTTTTACTTTTGAAATTGGTACATATCAGCTTGACACAGAAACCTGAAACTGAAACCCATCTATGACAATGAGTTATAGAAACACTGATATCTTTGGCTGAAGTTGTCATTGCACAAACCTGGGGCGGGGTTTGAGGTTAGTGACAAGACAAAAAACAGACTTCTGTAGTTTACAATTTAAAGCCTCCGTCTTCTCGTACCTTCCCAGTTCATTCACCCGTTCTGTTTTGCAGGACAAAGTGGAAAAGGACAGTGAGAAATCAAACTGCAAACACATACCGGACCCTGAGGTGAGACTGTTGGAACTTCTACGGTAGTTGCCAGATATCTGTGATATCATTAAAATGAAATCAAGTTTCACTGCTGGTTGATTCCAGGAGCCCAGTAATAAAAAGGTCAAACCTGTGGCCAAGTCCAACAGCCATACAGGGGTAATAACCCCGAGCAAGACCCCTGCTCTGAAACGCATCGGACAGTCAATATCGGTAACGACACACAAGTGTTACAATAGAACTATCAATAACAGTGTCAATTGTACGCCCAGATTTTTATGCGTTGTCACTTTTTTTTTTTTTTTTTTTTATCACAGCGGTCTATAAGTTTTCGTACAGACGCACAAGCGTTCCCCCAGCCTCTCCTACGCAATCAGCGGAAGGCTTCTTCATTTCCACGTCGGCGCAGCAGCCAGTGCTGGAGTGACACTGTGGAGAGTCATGAGCTCACCGCGAAGGAGATCAGACGTCAAGAGGTGGTGACTCTTATTATTCTGTTGATTCTCTTCATCACAGTGGATGTAAACAAGCTTCTTTCTTGACCGGTGCCACACTGGCAGCTGTAGTGAGTTCTTCAGTTTAGTTCATTTAAGGACAGGGAACAGGACAAATTGAACTAAATACCACTCCATGGACTGTACTTAAGTTTAAAGCTATTCTGTCCATCCATCTATCTATCCATCTATTCATCTATCCATTCATCCATCTATTCATCCATC